TCTATTTTTAACCGTTACCCTTTGCTTGATAAAATAAAATAAAAACCTACGACTGTACGAGCAAAATAAAATGTGTCTAAGCTAGATGATGAAGTAAAGTCTTAGTTTTCGTAAAGAAACCGATGCGCATTCCATCAGAAGTATCTTTTAAGATTTTCTTTAGAATTGGTTCCACTATTCTGGTCATTCTCGTTATTAGTAGGAGAAATGTTACTGAGCAAACCTAGAATCTAACCAATTTAGTGAAGAATAGGGCTTTTTAAACATGAGACTAATTTGGTTTTTGTAGCTTTTGATTTCATCTATAGATTTGACCTTCAATGACATTCTCAAGGTCAAAAAAATGTTTGACCTTCTCAAGGTCAAAAAGGTATTTTTCAACTATTTTTCAGTTCACAGAAGTTCCAATTTGACTTTAGATTTGAGAGTTCACCTTCAATGACCTTGTCAGGGTAAACAAAGGTCTTTTTTCAACTTGCTTCAAATTGACCAATTCTTTTTTCAAAATCATCCAGAAGTTCTCAAAAGTTCAAATCTGACTATAGATTTGATTTTCAATTCTCTCAAGATCAAAAAATATTTGACCTTCCAAAGGTCAAAAAGGTATTTTTCATCTTGCATCAAAATGACCAATTCCTTTTTTCAAAATCATCAATCTGATTTGAGATTTTACCTTCAATGACCTTGTCAGGGTCAAAAAAGTTTTTTTTCAACTCGCTTCAAATTGACCAATTTTTATTTTTAAAATCATCTACAAGTTCTCGGAAATGTTAATACCTTGTTTTCGTCTCCCACCATCTGAAATTTCAGGGTCGCCCCAGGTGTTGGTTTAGCATGGAAATTTCTTGATGTGTGGGCAGGGGGATGGGTTCGAGCCCCCCCCCCTTTAGTAAAAGCTGGCTACGGGCATGTTGCTCATGCATTTGAAATATTAAAGATTGCAATGGATGCAGTCACTTTCATTGGAATCGGTATAAAACTATTCTGGCACTTACAATGACTAAGTTGTGCAAGCAACATTTATCATTTCGGGTAAAGGCGAAACATTCATCATAGGGAACCACAAACGGCAATCAAACTATAATATCACGAAAAATACGCAGCGTAGGCAATGAGGGAAAGAGAAACATCATTCAAAGTTGTATGGTTATGTGTCAGTCATGGAAATAAAAAGAAAGCATAGCATGTTGAATAGGAATGTAAATGTTACATACATCGCTATTCCCACAAAGTTATAACATGCATGATCATATGTGAAACTGAGAATGAAATATATTGTTTCTTGGTTTGACAATGACTCATTCTTTGCTTTAATTTAAATATAAACATAAAAATACGAATACATCTAGCTTTTGATTGTACGTTTATATTTCACATAATTTTAAAGTCATTTTGTATCCTCAACACATGCTTAATAGAATTTTACAAAGACAATTCAAAAATGAAATAATGATGATTCAAACAGTGTTATTAAGTACTTTCATTTCTCAAAAAAATAATAATCGAAAACTATTTTTTTTCCCAAAGATGATATTTTAATGTTTGGAGGGTACAAAATATTGGACAGCCTAATCTAGACAACTTGAATTCGTGACAGAAAAACCTACACTCGATCAGATATCTCCATTGTCTGCAATCGAAGATATATTATCAAAATGCACCTTCTGGCATAGCTTTCACCAAATAATGCATCAACAGTGTATATTAATATTGCCGATGTGTAGGATACAAATATTTAACAAATCGTATACATATAGTAAAACATACTTAATTATGTGACTAAGACATATCAAACATCCCGCTTTCAAGAGTTGGTAGCACATACATTTTATTAACATGCCTAAAAATATCAACGCAATCGATACATTTTAGGTTAAGAAATCCGAGTTTATATTTGCCGAAAAAATAAAATATTTCTTAATTATCTAAAAATTAAAGTGATATTTTTTAAAAAAGATAAGCAATATTCCAAACAGGTACCTTGTGGTAATGATTGCTTAAAGTCTGGTCAACAAAAAAATAACATATTGCAGTCTCTAGTACAACAACAGATTTTTAAAATATAAATTATCGCAAATTGTCCCATCTGCGAGCATAAACGCGTCCTTGCTTGTACTTAATATGTGTAATATATCATGATTTAGTATTCATCTCGTACTTTTATCTTGAGTACTATTTAAGATCATAAGTAGTTTTAAGATGGTATATAGAGATTCAAAATGACCGAAAAGATGATTTGTTATTAAAATTCCATGGCGCATATAGGAATTATTGCTAAATAGTGGTGAGCCGAAGCGCCGATGGATTCAAATAAGCCAAAAAGATTATTCACATGCCTCGATGACGATGATCCTGTCAAAATTAATACAGTTAAACGCATGACATGTAAAGAATATCTAAACAATGTTCCTTTTTTTAAACCGTATAAAAACAATTTCCCGTCAATGTTTTAGTGACTAATATAAAGTAAATAAATGTTACTAGTTTGCAGGGTAATGCCGACAAAAAGTTTTAAAAAGCAAGCCCAATGTCCTACTAAGAAACCCCTTTCTTACTATTGAAATGGATTCTTCCAATACCAACAAGGATTTACTTGTTGAGACTCAATCAACTTGAGTTTTCTGAGATAATGAGGATTTCAGTACATCGATTTAATATTGATATATGCAATGACTTAGCATCGGGATACCATCATGTATGTCACCATGGGGATAGATACAAAATCCTCAATTTCTGAGAACTAAGTTTGTGAAAATAGGACTGTTTAATTTTGAAATGGCGGATATGGAGAACGTATGCGAGAAATCATAATAACTTTTGGAAATTTTTCAGTGCATTTTTCCTATGTTAGAAAAATCTCAAAGCGACCGAAATAACTGTTTCTTAGGTTTTAAACCGAAATAAGTAACATTTGTTTACATTATTTACTTATTTAGTAGCCTACGTATTATTCATAAAATAGTGGAAAATACTGTATAAGTATATAGAACCATTAGAGAGATTTCGCATTTAGCAAATAGCGTGTTAATTAATCCTTTAGTTTATAACTTATACATATGATAAGTGTGTGTACTACGTCATCATTTGTTACGCAGCCCCTGTACATGTATCTATTCATAGAAGGAGCCATCGCTTATAAAACGTTTAAGTTAGTAAATACTATACTTATCTCGTATGACATAGTTATTGATAAGGGAAATCATGGTGATATTTGGTATGAAGCTATATAACAAATCCCACACTAGAAATGGGTGAGAAAAGAATTTATTCTTGGTGAAAAGAACATTTGAAATATTTTACTTATAACGTAAAACTAACTATACGCATAAACATAAGTTGCGCGGCTTTCACTCATGAGCGAAATCTCGCTATCATCATTTATAGACTATTTCTATAGATGCGGAGGCGTATTTCAACTTTAACGCCATCCAGTCATACAATCTCAGGACAATGACTTACAATACAATAGAGTCCATTTCAATTGGGTTGTGCGTCAATAAAACCTAAAAATTAAGCAATCTAAAGACCACTTACTATATGGAAGATACATTCGTGTTTTACGCGCAAAACTTGGTGTAGCTCGGTGCTTGTGGTTTGGCTAATAAGATGTATGACCTCTTGTATTTTGGTGCTTCTCTGACGTGTAATTCTCAAAAATTAACATGGTTGAACTTCATTAATGACAAAATGATATAGGTCTATTTGCACATAAAACTATTTATCTGAAATATAAAAACGTTTTGCGCGTAAAATATGAATGCATTTTCCATATATGATACTGCACTGTAGTTTTTTGATTGCTTGTTTTTTAGGTTTCATTGACACACAACCTAGTTGAAATGGACTGTGTATATTCACGGTATTCATATTTCTTCTCTTAATTTATACAAATTGTGAATAGAATTTACAAGTATGTTCTTGCATTTGAAAACGTTTATGTGTAATTTCGTAATGCTACCTCAAATTAAGGATATTGTACGTATCAGACAAAGAATGAACCATTTAGTACTATGTTCGACTTCATTCATTTGGCACACATCAAGTATGCGAAAACTGACAATCACATGGACAGAAATTTGCCAAAAATAAACGCACTGGGCCTTCGTGAGATAGAACATGACTGGGGACATGATAACAATGCCGAATTTGCACCTTCCATTGATTTTTGCATACATAAGTCCTTCAACGGTAATATCATTAACAAACTGCTGTTCCATACGATTGGCAACGATTTCAATCAATAAAATAAGCTATAGAATTTCGTTTTGTTATATATTTATCTTTCAATTCAATCATCAAATATTTTCAAAACTGCCAAGTCTAAGTGGTGTTACCACTTTTCAGCGCTTACTATCCGACTGTTGTATAATGTACACGTTGTGTATACGCGGACTATAATTATTGCATGGCCTTGAGTGTTATTCCGGGTATTTTTACTATTTTACATTGATTATATATTGCCTTATTTTATCGTTGGGATGATTAGCCGTATATGACCGCTGGTATCGAGTTAGACTGCTTGGATTACGTTTCTTGTTATCAAAGCACGAGTTTGTTACCGCTGGTTGGTTAAATATATTGATGAGGCCAGCGAGTACAACTTGTGTAATTGCGTCACGAGCCCGACCCCGCGTCTTGTTATAATTACGCTGTCTGATATTATAATCCGATATATAGCACTGGCAACGCTTTACAAATCAACAATATAATGATACAGATTCTATGAAACATGAGCGACAAATCCGGAACGGCAAACCGACCGATCCAACAAATTACTTATGTAGCGTTGAAGGGACATTTATCCCAGTATTTATCATAAATTATCAGCGCACGGTGTCTTCTATATAACTATACCTGCAATATGTTGTTACAACCCGTGTAAATATATAAATATTAACAAATAAAGGATTGCCCACGAACTAATAGCGTTACTCATGACTAAAACACACATTAGCGCATATTGGTGTACACTTATGGCGGCCGATTTTACATCGAAACGACGACGAAGGTCAATATCTTGATAGTCTAAACTCGCATGATATACAATCGCAGTTAAACGGCCTCCACTGCAGGTTAATACGATAAGTACATTTTCCGTCGAATACCTAAATACGCAAGTTACACTGTGAGATTGAAAAGACGCGAGCTAGAAGTGATCGCACTCAAGCCACATGGTAATTTACAGAAAGTAAGGCAAACGTGCTGAACAAAGCAACAACGAATCATACAGGAAACGCAAATCTGTCGATGGGGAAGTAGAGAGGTTCAGTAATTTGCCGGTCGTTTCAGTTATAGTAAGCTGTAATAACTTGAGTTCTAGCGTTGAAATACAAAAGCGTGAGGGATAAGAAACAAAGAAAACTGAAATCGATCATTCAACCGAAAATCGTTGTGAATACATGATACAGATTTTAGCCAAATTTAGTAGGTATTATAAAGAGCTGTGCGTTTAGCGCTAACACATATATACACACACATGTACTGAGTGGTTCGATAAACCATGAAACCAGCGTGTTTGTCGACGTGGCTTCAACACAGAGACGGCAAATGAAAAGCTTGTAAATATAAACGCGTCTAGCATTGAGACATTCAATACAGCATTTATTTAGCGAAAGTAGAACTAGTAAATCGTAAAAGTTGATGATCGCGTATAGTGGTTGATGTGATAGTTTACACGAGGATAGCAAAGCCAATGTTTTAGCAGTTATCAGGGCTACACATATATACACATTATCAAGCTTTCTACAGATACGACCTAGACTTGAATAATCAGGAGACGCGCAGTATTTTGGTAATATTCAAGCAACCTAATATTCACAGCCGCTTGGGTAATTACGGACGCAATTAGACCACACATTGGCTTCATTTTACAATAAATAGTATATCGTACATAGATTGAAGGTTATAGATAACCAGGCTACATAACACATCATTAAAACAATAGTAAAATTAAAGTTACATTCGTATTGATTGAGTGTGATAGTTTATCGGAGCCTTTGTAACAGTGTTTAATAGCTCTCCCACAATTCATACAGTTTATAGTGTTACAAACACATGCCGTATACAACAGAATAGCGCCTCATTAGTTATTCGCGTTTTGCGCTCATAGTTAACGATTCTGTGTGGCAGTATAAAGAGCGCAAATTATCAGGGAGTTTCAACATTGAAATTAGCCGCAGTTTGTCGAGTTAACAAGATGGCTGAAGTTAAGAATAAAGACATTATCCTGGACACTATAGATCAGTTACGGAAACGCAAGGCGAGGCCTGACATTGAGCGAATCTGTCATATGATTCAACGTCGTCATGGTCTCACGTGTGAAGAAACTGCCGAAGATCTGGACAGTTTAGTACAAGCGGGGATCGTTATAAAAGTTGATTACAAGGGAAATACGAGCTACAGGAATGCCGCAAAATGGAGGAAAAGTCACCTAGGCCTAAACGTTAAAGAAATACACGCCGCTCTTGATAAAGCTATCCGCAGTTTGAAAAATGAGGATGGGATTGTGGAATCTGCCTCGGGAGAGATGTCTGGGGAGTTGTCAGCAAGCGGGGAGGCGAAGATGGACAATGAAAAAGGTTACACAGCTGCAGAGATCGAACGATGGTTGCTGATTCAGGATCCAGATACAAAACTACAGCAAAATATCCTTCAAATAGCGTTACAAAGAGAGGTCGAATTCGGTCGTTTGCTACAGTTTGAAGATGGCAAGTTCGGGGTTGGGGACCATACCAAGCGCGTCCCTGGTAAGACGGCAGGCAAAACTTCAAGTGGGGCAGGTGGGAAGCATACAAGCCCGACTAACAAGTCTGAGAAAGACCGCCCGGCGTCTATCAAAAGAAAGGTATGTTAATTGTTAATCAAACATTGTATGATAGCCTTAACATGTATGTCATCATTGTGCGTCATTTTAATTTTCAGGCATTTGAGGAAGTACGTGTGAAATTAAAAGGCTGTATGGCCTCCATACGTCAGGACTGCCTATAATGTATTGACTTTCGAAGCCTCTCTTCGCGTGACTGTTCTTTCTCTCCGAGTACACATTTGCCGCATCCTGACGTTGTAGCAAGTACCAGAAAGATACTTCAATCAATTATATATCGCTATCGGAAAAACCGACATCTAAATCGTACAGTACATACACCGCCTAACGATGTGGATCACCGAAGCCTTTAGTCCATTGGGAATGCAACGCAAAAGCGAACATGATGATGGACTTAGTCGTTTAATGTCATTAAAAAGTCAATACGTTGTGGTACATGTCTATGTTAAGTCACTTTTCAACGTTTACTATGCTAGTACAATATAGTATTCATATAAAGTTAAACCTCTGGGTGTTAAACTGTTGTAAATAACAAATGCGCGTCTCTTAATATATTGCGGCAAATAACTTACAATTAGACTAAAACAAAAATGAGTATGGTTAAATTGTTTTTCATCCGAGATACGCGTGTTTAGACCGCATGTTGTATCGGCCTACACACACGTATGTGAAGCCTATATATGTATGTACGCAATAACATAAACATAGATTCTCAAGTGAAGTAACCCTTGATACTATATAAAACAGGTTTAGTAACACGCTGTACATAGAAATAGGCGCAAGTTAGTCCCGGTTACCAATTTGCGCTCTTCAGATAATACGCGCTTCGTGGTCAATACTCAGCTAGTTGTAGCGTTATACATTGCCGAGGCTTGGTTTCCAATATGGGAAATCGATATTTGCCGAGTGTCGTTAACTCTATGTCTCCCCGCAATTAATCTAAAATAGTATTTAACCCATTATAAAGAGCGCCTAAAACTGGCTAAATACTTTGTTCATTTATATGTGCGTATATCGAGTTAAAGAAATGTGATTACTTTGTAAAAACGACAACTTGGGTATTTATCATGCATTCATGTAATCCTTTTCTGAGTTTCGTTCAAAAGAATTGTTATTTATAGAAGCACGGATGTGTATAAATTGGAACACGACAAAACTTTGCCCTGTGTGAAAATTCATGATTAACGAGAGCAATCATTAAACGAGTGATGACGTCACTGCTATGGTAATCAAATTAGCAATGTAGAAGGTACGGATAAAGAGGAGGTCGGTAGATTTGTGCACTGTACGCTCAGTCAGAAAATATCATCTTATCTAATTGATTGCCATGTGTTAATATGTGCGCATAGAGAATAATCATTATTTGCCACAACTACGTAAGATATATCTTGTGTTATAGACGGCGGAAGCTAAATACATGTCTATAGACGCCACTTGATCAGCGCAACTTCATCGGCAAATGGTAATTTAGCCGGACATGATTTTATGCGTTCGTGACCATTAGTACTTTTGCCGCAATAATAGGCCTATGTGTTTTCGTAAGTAATATGTTGGTCGATTTCATTTTCGATTTAATAGACACGTGTACGACAGTCAGAGTACATTTGATAAAGCCGATGAATACATTTGAAGGGAAGAAAGATAACACAAAGCCCACGGGGACTGAGATCAACACTCGTCATTCAAAATGGCGGCCGTCTCACGATGTTTTAACTTGCGTCATTCAGCGCCACTTTGTTCCATAACGTCTCGTGGGTATGGGAAGGCTAGGTTTTTAAATCGCATGTCTGTAGCCTCATAATACTGTGGTAAGTATTATCGGATCTCGAATATACCACGAGTGTGTGTAACATTTATCAGAAATGGAATATAAGGAAAATCTCGACTAAAGTTCAACTGCCATAGATCAACATATCGAGTTTCATACGTCCCAACATTTACTAGCTCATGTATGAGTTGAGTACTAAATAGTTATTAATGCGCCGCTATAAAGCTAACGATGGTCCTCCTCGAACACACGATCCCTAGACCATGTTACAATATCTCGATCCATCATGACCTTTCATATGACTGAAGGAATACATTGGTTTAACAGCATGATGTAACAACACAGCGGCAGACTTTCTGCATGGTGTAATTTTAGTTTCGTTTATCGTCCAGTATATTTGCATAAACGAATGCATACTATTTCCTTGACGTTAACCGGATTTCGTTCCATCTTTAGAATCGGTAATTATTGCGATGTTATTTTTTAGGTGTAAACACGGGTTTTCGGCACCTATTCGACAACAAGTTCGGTTGGTCGTGGAAACAATCTGGTCGGTCTTTTAATGGCGGATTTCTCTGGAAGGTGGTTTTATTTTCGGATTATCCTTTTATTGTCGATTTATGTTCAAGTTAAACCAAATGAGATACATACCATTCGTGTCATTGGTAAGCATAAGGAAAATGGGTAACGGCATTAAACATGTCTAACTTCAAAATCACTGGTCAGTATCAAGCGAAGGTTACGGCCGTCACCTTCGCATTTAAAATGGCAGACGGGAAGTGTCGATTTCGATATTTTTAGTTATTATGGAATAATATTAATAGTACAATAACGTCATTTCGAAGGGCAATATAGTGAAATATTGGACCGAGGGCCGACGGCACAAGGTCCGATATTTCACTTTATCCAATGGTTACAAGGATATACATGTATATCGAATATCAGGTGAAGATATATTTGATATGTGGATCAAGATATCATATTTTAGCAAAAAATCCCCAAACCATCGAATATCACTTCTCAAACCATCGAATATCACTTCTCAAAAAGTGATATTCGATGGTTTCAAAAGTGATATTCGTTGGTTTAGATTGTTTTCAATAATTTTTTGTCAAATTGTTTTCTAAAATTTTTTTTTAGATTTTTTCCTTCAAAATTTTTTTTCAAACATTTTTTCCTTCAAAATTTTTTGGAAAAATATCATTTATATCCACTCATGGATATCAATATCTTCACTCATTCATTGCGCTCACTCGTAAAGATATCATTTATATCCACTCATGGATATAAATGATATTTTTTCAAAACCATAGGATATTCCTATAATATTGCCCGCAGAAATGACGTTATTAGTATTACCACCGTGGAAATAATATTGATTAATTGATATTTGAACTAAACCAGGGCTATATGACATGGAAACTTTGGAGTACGATCACTTGTTCATATATTGTGCATAATCGCCACAGTTCAATGATATCTTCCACCGCGTAAAGGGAAGGTTATTGTGATTTTGGTTTCATGACCACCGTAGCATATTTTTTCCAGTTACCTTCCCTCAAACTGTGAGAGATGTCGTTGAACTGTGGATCCCACGCACGATATACGGACAAATTATAATACTCAAGTTTCCATGTCATTTATTAAAAGTCTGATTTAGTTCAAATATCAAAGCATTGCGTCAACTAAAAAGTAGTTTAATTCGATGAAAACTAGAAATCTCGAAATGGACACTTCCCGTCCGCCATCTTAAATGCGAAGGTGACGGTCGTAACCTTCGCTTGATACTGACCAGTGAAAATGACGAACGAGAGTCGCGATTTCGAACAATTTTATATCCATTGGTTTAGCATTTTTTCATCGAGTTTGGCTTTGAAATTCCAGCCACATCAAGATAACAAAACCCAGTCTCCGAAATGCTTCATTAATATATTTTGTGCGTGAACGCTTAAAAGATGACGTATAGTTTTATTATTTATGTTTGACATGGTCAGCATTTCAAATCAAAAATCCAGGTTTTAATCAATGGAAAACATTTTGATAATACGGTAACGACCATTTATGTATCTTAATACTGACCACTGATTGTACTTTAAACATTTCCGATTCGTCGATGAATTGTTTACATGCTCAGCATGAAATCGAAATAAGCCAAACACTGATCGACCGCAAAACTGCCACTCGCTTTAGCAGTTCATTTAGATAATTCATTCAGAAAAATTCAAAATTATTTATAATGTTCTAAATACGTTACCAGTTATGACACACGTTTTCAAGGCGAACAGTACATTCATGTTAACATCCTCCGAACGCAAGGCTCCAGATATCATCCATTCTGTTCCTTCATTCCTTCCTGCAGAGTGGATGATGTTTGGACGCCGGCGTTCGGAAGGTGATAGGGCAACTAAAACGGCGGCAAATAAACGTAAAGGCTCATTATTGTTGGATTCTTTCATATAGTACGCAGGCCCGTAGCCAGGGGGGGGGGGTTCGGGGGGTTCGGGATTTTTGGCCAAATTTGCTAAAGAGAACCCCCCCCCCTAGAATTTTTTGGAAAAGTGAACCCCCCCCCTTGGAAAATTCTGGCTACGGGCCTGGTACTGTTACGTTGATTGAGGAAATTGTTGTTGATTGAATATTTTTAAAGAGGCGATGTATTTACAGGCTGATTCGCGTCAAAGAAGCACAAAGGTGTAATAGAAGTGTTGCCGAATTTCTCAATAAACATCTGGAGAGTAGTCACTTGAATAGATTTAATGAGATGCTAATTAATGTGTTTTCTCAAAAACATACTGAGGAAACGTTGCCAGTAATAATTCTTGGATGACATTTGTTTGGTCGACCCTGTAACTTCTATCAGCAGTTTGATACAAGTTAAAAGAAAATTTAAATACCGCGTTTGAAGCTGAAAACGGAACCATAGTGTTACATTGGCTGCCACCCATCCCCCATGCCCCGACTTTTTGGTGTTTTCCATCATTCTGATACTCATAGCATCCCATTCGTTTCATCGAAGCATGCTTGCTGGTTTCCGAAGAAATATGAATAATTCAGGCGGGTTTTACTTTGCGCTTATTGATAAACATTCTTGCGGGTTACACAGAGAGATGCTATTATAAGGTGTTACACGAACAGCCGCTCGTCTATTCGAGTATCATGCGCACAACGCCCTCAGAATGTACTTGTATTCGTGTCATACTAAACAATTTTTTTTGACCTATTTTTCACGATAGTATTAAGAAATATAATTTGT